AATAAAATACAAAGAAACAAGTTTCACCCGCATGCTTTAACCCAATAACAACGTATAAGTACCCGTCACCTCATATATACATTGTTCCCACACATAAAACACATAGCAAATAGACTAACAAGTCCTAATCCCCCAAGTCAAGATTAATCACGATACTTACCTTACTCCGTAACCAAATCAATACTCAACTGCGGCTTTTCCTCTAGAATTAGCCTCCAAACCAATCAAATCTAATCAAATCTAGTTCAAATAATTCAAAAAGCTTTAGAAACTACCTACGAGTGAAAAAGATTCAATCTTTAATGTTTTTGGAAAAATTCAACAAAAGTCAACTACGGGCCCGCTTGGTCAAAACCCGAGATTTGAACCAAAACCCGTTTGCCCATTCACCCCTGAGCCCGATTATGTGATTAGTTTCGAAATCCGACCTTCATTGAGGTCCGAATCTCAATTTCTCAAAATTCCCAATTTCTACCTAAATCTCTACTTTCTATCATGAAAAAGCATAGATTAAACTTAAAATAAATGGGTGTTTAGGGAAATGGAAGGAAACAAGTTAAAATCTACTAACCTATGAAGTTGGGATGAAAAAACTCTTCAAATCGCCTCTAGGCCGAGCTCAAACTTGAAAATGGTGAAAAATAGGATAAATCTCGACTTTGGGACCTTTTAATCACTGGGCGTCAGGCCTTCTTCACGTTCGCGAAGGGCCTGACACGATCCCGAAGAGCAGCGGCCCTAGTGGCATACGCGTTCACGAGAGGTTGCACGCGTACGCGATGGCATGTCCCCCCTGGCCTTCACGTTCACGAGCTTGGGCTCGCGTTCGCGTAGTACAACCCTTGCCTCCCCCAGTTCCTCACCTAGCCCATCGCGTTTGCGAGTAAAGGGTCGCATTCGCGAAGGGTAATCCCTCAGATGCTTAGCGCTCGCGGCCGCTTCGCCGCGTTCGCGTAGAAGAAAAACCACCCCAACCCAAGTTACCCTTCGCGATCGCGGGAGTAGCTTCGCAATCGCGAAGAACAAAACACCAGACATTAGCAACAGTGAAAAACCAGCAACCTTCTAAGTCCAAATCGATCCGTAGCCTATCCGAAACTCACCCGAACCCCTCGGGCTCCAAACCTGACATGCACACAAGTGTAATAACATTATACGAACTTGCATCGCACGATCAAAACACCAAAATAATACCTAGAACTACAAATCGGATATCAAAATGCATGAAATTTTTAAAGAAACTTATGAACTTTCAAATTCCCAACCGAACGTCCGAATCACGTCAAATCAACTTCGTCTTGCACCAAAATTTGCAGACAAGTCTTAAATAGTAAAATGAACCTATATCAAGTTCCGGAACCGAAATCGAACTCGGTAGCTATAAAGTCAACCTATGGTCAAACTTCGGAATTCTTTAAACCTCCAAATTACTAGTTTTCAACAAATCACGTCAAAACATGTTACGGACTTCCAAATTCAATTTAGGGCATACGCCCAAGTTCAAAATCACGGTACGGACCCACCTGGATCGTCAAAATACAGATCCGGATCCATTTACATGAGATATTGACCGCAATTAACTCAAATCATTTTTAAGGCTAAAATTCATATTTCCTTCAGTTTTTCACATAAATTTTTTTCGGAATAAGACACAAATTGCACACACAAATCGGAAAACGCTAAATGGAGCTAATCAAGATCTAGAAATACGAAAATAAAGGCTAAAACTCAAATGACCTATCAGGTCATCATATCGTAGCTTTGATACCATGTTGACAATCAAATTCACAGAAAATATGATAGAAATAAAATGAATTGAACCCTAGGTTGTAACCGCTTTTAGAGAGATAAATAATGGATCAAAAGATTGAGAAGATATTATTGCAAGAATGAGCAAAATTATCTAATACAATACTGTACAAGTCCCATATATACAATACAAAGTTGGACCGAATATAAAATAATTAGAGAAAACTACCCTCTATAGCCCCTCAAAATTTTAATAGCCCATGTATTGTCCTACTTACAAAAAATGGCCCTTCGGCCCAAACGTATTGCATATAGTAGCCGAAAGGAATAAACATGAAAACACAAGCGCCTGTAGCTCAGTGGACAGAGCGCCTGTTTCCTAAGCTGAAGGTCGTAGGTTCGACCCCTACCTGGCGCGATAGAGCAACCCTTTTTTGCCTTTTTAAATGTACTTCTGGATCTGATAAGTATTAGCTAACAATTGAATGAAATATGTAATGCAGGTCATATACGAAATGTCTATTTTGTATATTTTTTGTATAATAACAGTCTATTATTATATATTTTTTGTATAATAACAGTTTATTTTTGTATATTTTTTGTATAGTGACAGTCTATTTTATATATTTTTTGTATAGTAACAGTCTATTTTGTATAGGGACAGTCTATTTTGTATATATTGTATAGTGACAGTTAATTGTATATAAATTGTATAGTGGCAGTCTATTTAGTATATTTTTATATAATGATAGTCTATTTTGTACATATTTTGTATAATGACAGTCTATTTAGTATATTTTTTCTATAATGACATTCTTTTTTGTATATATTTTGTATAGTGACACTCTATTTGTATATAAATTGTATGGTGACAGTCTATTTGTATATAAATTGTATAGTGACAGTCTATTTT